TGCAATAGAAAATGTATCTTTCGGCACCCAGAGCAAAAACAGCTATATGCCCTCGGGAGGCTCCCAAAATGGATCAGGTCCCCTACCAAAAGCCAGGATGAAACGGGTCAAGGTTTATCCCAAATCCACAACCCTAATCTATACTGTAGAATTGATGCTTTTTAATACCACTTTAACTGCCATGGCTTGATGCTATGGAATTCTGGGAGATGCAAATGAATGAAGTACCAGTTGCCTTTGGCAAAGAAGACTAAAGACCTTGTAAAACTACAAGCATCATTTTATACAAAAATGCCATTTTATTAAGCTATTGTATACAATGGGACTTTCACATCCACCCATCCTGGATCTAAACCCCAACAGATATTGATAGCCCACGGTATGGGTCTTTGTAATACATACACATACATGCCCCCCAAGACCCTTTTCTTTTCATGATCTCAGGTAATGCTTGTTTCTAGAATCCTCTCTTCTATCTCCAATCTTTGGTTTTCACCAACATTCATTCAGATTCCCATGGCCACTGACCACATTTCATTTTCACATGGCTGTTTCTGAGGATTCCCTTTTTCTCTAAAATTTGGAAACTGAAGGAACAATTGATAGAGATATACTCATTCAGCTAGAAACAATGGATGGAGACATATTCACACATCTAGGAACAATGGATGGAGATATACCCACTCAACTAAGCTAACAATATATTTTCTAATTTGACAAAAATGAGATTATAACAAGAATGAAAATTGGTGATAGGAATGCTGGGAAGATTTGGAATAATTTCCTTCCCAAGGTTCTTATAGTCAAACTTGCTTAATCCTAGCTTAATCCTATACAAAGTCTGAAAATCATTATTCGCTGGCAGGAGAACATGTTGGCTGGAGTGTAACAGAATTTATACTCACTGGAGGGGGTGGGCCTCAAAAATATAACTTCTCCAAGGCTGGATCTACCTTGCCATATAATGCCATTTCAGAATGCATATGATCTAGTTCAAAGCAGTTAAAGTACATTCTGAAATGGCATTATTTGGCAGTGTAGATCCAGCCCCAGTTCTGATCCTCAGTTTTGATCTTCAGTTCTGATGCTGGGATATAGGGCCTGTCAGGAAGGGTCCTAAGTTAGTTGTATAAAGATACTCATTAGAGGCCTCTTCCACACAGCTGTATAAAATCCAGATTGAACTGGATTATATGGCAGTGTGGACTCAGACAACCCAGTTCAAAGCAGATATTGTGGATTATCTGCCATGGTATTATGGGTTATATGGCTGTGTGGAAGGGCTCACAGTCTTCTCTAGTCTTGGACTAGAATGGCTAGAAGGCATGATCATCAAGTTTGCAGACGACACCAAATTGGGAGGGATAGCCAATACTCCAGAGGACAGGAGCAGGATTCAAAACGATCTTGACAGATTAGAGAGATGGGCCAAAACTAACAAAATGAAGTTCAACGGGGACAAATGCAAGATACTCCACTTAGGTAGGAGAAACAAAATGCAAAGATACGGAATGGGGGATGCCTGGCTCGAGAGCAGTACGTGTGAAAAAGATCTTGGAGTCCTTGTGGACAATAAGTTAAACATGAGCCAACAATGTGATGTGGTGGCAAAAAAATTAACGGGATTTTGGCCTGCATCAATAGGAGCATAGTGTCTAGATCTAGGGAAGTCATGTTACCCCTCTATTCCGCTTTGGTTAGACCACACCTGGAATATTGTGTCCAATTCTGGGCACCACAATTCAAGAGAGATATTGACAAGCTGGAATGTGTCCAGAGGAGGGCGACTAAAATGATCAAAGGTCTGGAGAACAAGCCCTATGAGGAGCAGCTTAAGGAGCTGGGCATGTTTAGCCTGAAGAAGAGAAGGCTGAGAGGAGATATGATAGCCATGTATAAATACGTGAGAGGAAGCCACAGGGAGGAGGGAGCAAGCTTGTTTTCTGCTTCCCTGGAGACTAGGACGCGAACAATGGCTTCAAACTACAAGAAAGGAGATTCCATCTGAACATGAGGAAGAACTTCCTGACTGTGAGAGCCGTTCAGCAGTGGAACTCTCTGCCTCGGAGTGTGGTGGAGGCTCCTTCTTTGGAAGCTTTTAAACAGAGGCTGGATGGCCATCTGTCAGGGGTGATTTGAATGCAATATTCCTGCTTTTTGGCAGGGGGTTGGACTAGATGGCCCATGAGGTCTCTTCCAATTCTTTGATTCTATGATTCTATGATTGGATTTCCAGGTTAAAGTGCTGGCACATGCCTTGCTAATGCTGCAGTGCACACCAGTTTCATTGCTAATGCTGCAGTGCACACCAGTTTGGGTTTAATGCAAATAAAAACAACAATCCAGCCAGACTTCTTCCCAGCTCCATGCAGAGCTATCCATGGTCCTGGTTCTTTACCCAAACAATTCCTTTTTCTTCCTGTCGGTCTGCAGACACTCCTCAGAACAGGAGGGGGGGGGGGGACAGACATACAGAACCCCAGACAATTTACAGATAAGTACCCCTTCTTTTTCTCTTCTGCCATCTCAAGTTGACCTACAAGTCAAGCAGATATCGTAACTATTGATTTTAAAGTTATCTCTAACAACAACAACAAACAACAACATATTACGTTCCTGTCCTCACAGCTCAAGCTCAAGGAGGGGGAGAGCATAGTTAAAACAGACAGATAAAATATAAGACTATTAAAATACATATATTAAATACATATAACATAGACCAACACTAATATTAATATAATGTAGCTTAAAATTCACCATTTAAAACTGACCACATAGAGTGGGATTCCACAACCTTTTTAAACAGAGGGGCCTCCTCAGGGTATAATTTGGGGGGGGGGAGAGAGATGAATTTCTATGCACACTGCATATATCTTATTTGCAGTATAAAAAAATCGAAAGAGCAATACAATATTTAAAATGAAGAACAATTTTAACCAACATAAATTTACCAGTATTTCAGTGAGATATGTGGGCCTGCTTTTGGCTGATGAGATACTCAAGTTAATTAGGATTGTTGTTGTTGTGTGCCTTCAAGTTGTTTCAGACTTAGGGTGACCCTAAGTCCAAAGTTTAGGGCAGGGGGTGAGTAAATGACCTTGGAGGACTCTCTCTGGCTCACAGGCCTTAGTTTGGTGACCCCTGATGTAGAGATCAATCTTCAATTGTGCCTTGAATTCTGACAGCAGATTTAACCGTTGAATCTCTTCTGTCAGATTATTCCACAGTGTTGTGCTGTCTTGGTGTTTGCCAGCTATAAGGTGATGTCAGGGTTTAGCATTCTTCTCTCCACCAGCGCCCTTCTCCCCGACTCCTATTTCCAAGCTGGTTGCAAATTGGCACCATTACATGACTGAAGAAAGGGGTGACATTGAATGTACTCAGTTGGATATGTATCCACTATCAATGATAGCACAACTTTAGTGGACCAGTGGGTTAACTAATACTTACATCCCCAATCTCCATCCCCAGTTTGTGTAGTGGTAGTAAAGAAAGGCAGGCAAAATCTACCATTCCCAGCAACCTCTTTCTCCAGTTCCTTTTTCGTAGCTACAGTGCCTGCTAGGCTTGTGCAATCTGGGTAAACTGCAATCTGTTTCGGTGTCCCAGATTTCAAAGGAAGAGGGGTCTCGATCCATTTTTCAGGAGGAGTTTTCAATCTGGGGAACTGAAAGATTTAATTTTATCCAGTCCATTATGGGGGGGGGGGACTTCCCAGGCTCCCCTTCCCATCTTTTGTCCATTAAGACTTGAATTAAAAGCTGATGCCACTTAGATTAAAAGAGATACCACTTGTTCTGCGATCCTTTCCCTTCTGTCTGTAGATTAGAGCAGGTTTAATGCTTAGTTCAAGCTGTTTCTACTCTAGAGGAGACAGGCACCGTGGGCTCATGCTCTCTCCCTGCAGCACACAGCTTTCCAAGGCATTTTAAGGAGGCTTCTCCACTTCCAAGAGAAGGAAGGGCAATCAACCTGAAGCTATCCTACCCTGGGCTTGCTTTAAAAAGTCTCCTCTTTTTCCTTAACCTGTGGAATGGTGCCCCCCCCCACCTCATGCTTCAATCTCCTTTCCGTTTTGGGTTTAATGCTTAGTTAAGGCTGCTTGTACTCTAGAGGAGACAGGTGCTGCAGGCACATGCATGCTCTCTCCCTGCAGCACACAGCTTTCCAAGGCATTTTAAGGAGGCTTCCTCACTTCCCAGGGAAGGAAGAGTGATTGACCTGAAACTATCCTACCCCGAGCTTCCTTTAAAAAGCTCTCTCTTTTCTTTTGATTTTCAGGTGCCTTTTTCCCTCACACTATTCCTTCTAGCAATTGCCTCCCTCTCACATTCCACTTGGAATCAGTTTACGGTAGCCACTGTTCTGTTGTGGCTGAAAAAAAATGGAGGCCAAGCCTGTGCCATTACAGCCAAACAATTAAGCTGAACCAGCCGGACTGGCCGAAGGGGACCAGCCAAAATGAATCCATGCACAAGCCTAGTGTCTGCAGCCTTTTTGCTCTATTACACAAACTTCATGCACCAGCAGAATATGTGTCATAAAAATCACAGTGCTATACCTTCTCACACACCACCAGGATTCTGTTTCTGTACAGATGTTAATAAGATTTCATTTAAAATAATCTGGGAGTGTATTGCATACTACTCACATAAATCAACCACTCCTAGCTCAGTGGAGGTTCCTAAGAGAAAACTGTCCAGTTTATATCACTCAAAGCTGCTTTAATGATTGCGTACTTATAGGTAGTTGGAATTTATATTCTTTGACACCTACCCTGGGGTCTCTCTTGAAATGATCTGGCTTTTCCTCCTTGAGCTGAGTGTTATACTGTGGCTGTACATGCTCACTTTTGAAAGGTGAAACCAAAAGACACACATTGGTTTCCACTGAGAAGAAAGAACTTTCTTTTGTGCCAAAAATAAAACTAACTTGTGAACGTCTTTAGTTATAACCACGTTGTGGCAGGAAAGAGTTTTCACTGAGGGGCTAGAACAGAACAGGGTTTTCCCCCCTTCACTTTAAACCTCTCCCCTCAAACCTGGTGGGCTTTTTCTCAGATTTTCCATCACTCATCTTCACCATTACACTTTAAACGTGTCCAGTGGTCTATATAGATCTGGTGGATAAAGCCTTCAGTCACTTCACCTCTTGATATCCCAAGGTCAACATTAACCATGAGACCCTATGTGGCAGCTATTCTGGCCATTGTTTTCCTGGACAGCTTCGGTGTGCACATCGTAAGAAGTATGTTGTGTGTGTGTTTTCCAATTTGGTGTTTACATCCAAATTGCTCTTCCTTGTTTATGATAAAATCCATACAGAACTTTTCTTGCTAGTGGTAAAGTTTTTTTCAGTGGTGTGACCTTTTTCTAATGATTGCTAATGTAAGATACAAAACCTTGTTTCATGAATGATGCTCAAGGGGAATGGACAGGGTAGAAACGAACCATATTGCTCTTTCTTGCATCCCTGGGAAGCAGGCCCGTAGCCAGGATTTCGTTTGGGGGGGGGGGGGCTGAATTTTTTTCAGGGGGGGGTGGGGGGGAGGCTGAGTTTCGGGGGGGGGCTGAGTCTGAGTGAAAGAGGGTCTAGCCTAGCAAACCTTTTGTATCATTACCCCAATACCCCCATGCATATGGGATATATTGAGTATGGTGATCAGATCATGATATGAATAAACATAACAGTTTAAATAATGCACCAGTAAGGCCTTTTCGCGAACTACCATGAGAATTTCAGGGGGGGGGAGCTGAAGCCCCCCGAGCTCCCCCCCTGGCTACATGCCTGCTGGGAAGACAGAATTTGCAAAACTATCATTATTCTTATTGGAACTGTTGTTGAGACTGTTAGGGAATCAGAGAGGTGCAATAGCTTGTGCACTGGACTAGGGGTGTATCAGCACTGTGGAAATAATGAAGCTGGATACCACTTTAACTGCCTTGGCTCAGTACGAGGGAATAATGGGAGATGTAGTTTTATAAGGTCTTTGGATTTATCTGACAAAGAGTGCTGGTGCCACACAAAACTACAAATCCTGGGAATTCAAAGCATTGAGTCATGATAGTAAAAATTCATCTGGCTTGTTCTATAGGAACAAGGAAAATCCCCCATTATATATTTAGTTGTAGCCCTCATGGTCCACGTGTAAATGCAGCTACCTTAGCACATAGCAGAATCTTGTGTCTGCATTGGAAACAATGGCATTGATGCTTACAATTCAGTGAGTGAAATCATGTTAATCCCCATTTGAAATAGGAAAAAGTAACACTGAATGATCACAAGGCATATAGCGAATCCAACAGAACATAATCCGGTTGAGGTTTTGCTCTTCTCCTCCTTGTTTGCTTCTGATTTGGGAAGGATTTCTATTGTTATAAGCTTTCAAATATATTGATTTTGATTTCAACTTGTCTAGGGAAAACTATACTGGATTGCTTCCTATAAAATAGCCAACTTTCTAGAAGTTAAAATACCTTATATTTTATCTTTGAATAATAGGCCTTTAGGGTCATCATAAGTCAGAAGAAACTTGATTAAACACAATAATAAATTGTTCTTCCACCATATTGTCAAAGGCTTTCATGGCCGTAGTCTCTAAGTTTCCAGGCTGTATGGCCATGTTCCAGAAGTTTTCCAGAGTTCCAGAGTTTTCTGGGCCATATGGCCATATTTCCAGAATGCTTCTCGAACATGGCCATACATCCCGGAAAACTCATAGCAACCCAATGTTCTTCCATCATCTGTAATTTAGTAGCAGCATTATATTATGATTTCTATTTTCCAGGAAAGCTGGGGACAAGAATTGAGACTTAACCTTATAGTGCTATTTTGCACAAAAATAAGAGGTACATCTGCTGAGGAAGGAAAATGGGCCTTTTGCAAAGGACTCTGGGATTGCAAACATGTTTCTCTTAGATCACAGCTTCCCAAATCCTCCTGCCAGCATGCGGATTCTGGGAGTTTTAGTCCAGAACACTTTCTCTAGCATTGCAAAGCCTAATATTGTTTGTTAATTTTCTTGAGCATATAACCAAAGAGTCAACGAGTGGGTGAAAGATAAATTTTATGGCTGACATTTCATTAGCACTTGGATGGGAGGCTGCCAAAGAATACCAGGTGAGCTATATTTCAAAGGAAGGAAATAGCAAGCTACCTCCAAATATTTTCTGGGCCCCCCTTGCACAGTGCTGTAAAAAAAAATCCAGATTATCTGCTTTGAAGTGGATTATATGGCAGTGTAAGCTCATATAACGCAGTTCAAAGAAGATAATGTGGATTACCTGTTTTGATAATCTGGATTATATGCCAGTATAGAAGGGTCTTAAGGAAGCCCCGTGAATTTCATGGGGTCACCATAATGAAAACGTGACTTGAAGCGACATACCTACCTACACACAGAGAACAACAGAGTATATATACAGTTGAGTAAACATACTGGCACTTTCTCTTCCAGCTAGGAGTATCCACATAGAGGGTCCCAGGAACATTATGAGAACTAGCAATTGTGAAATGCCATGTCCCCTGTAGCTATAGTAAACTTTCAAGCAAATATAGCTCAATAAATAATACGAGTCAATATGTTTTATTTCACTATAAACTAAATACTCTTCAGCAATGAAATCTACATGTATATAGTAGGTAATGGAGCTATATCAAAAATTCCTTAACAGATAACATGAACAGGCATGTATGTGTTCTTGTCTCCAACCATGGTGACTTACAGGTTTACCAGAGGCATTGGATTTATTAATTCAATTTATATCCCACTTTTTCTCAAGATGAAATTCAAAGTAGGGAACCACTGTGAGAAGAGACGTAAAGTTAAATGTTTCCCCTGGCATTAAGGATAGTCATGTCTGACTCTGATGGGGGATTCTCACCTCCATTTCTAAGCCGAAAAGTCGGTGTTGTCCATAGACACTTAAGGTCATGTGGCCAGCATGACTGCATGGAGCCCCGTTACCTTCCACCAAAGTGGTACCTATTGCTCTACTCACATTTGGATGTTTTCAAACTGCTAGGTTGGCAGAATCTGGGCCTAACAGCAGGAGCTCACCCTGCTCCCTAAATTCAAACCATCAGCCTTTCGGTCAGCAAGTTCAGCAGTTCAGTGGTTTAACCTACTACAGGGGTCTTGTGGAAAGAGAATATGAATTAGCCTTTGCTCGGATCCAAAAGAGTAATTCTTATAGGCTTTTCTAACAGACTGCTTCTCTTTTATATTTCTTTTAGAAACCAAGGCATCTCAGACAATGGCACTCAACGCCTGCATCTCATTGCAGTCAATAGAAATAAACATCAAAAGAATTGCTGATTATGTAGAGCAAACCAGTCCAGTCAAAGCAGTGATGTGAGTAGTAACTGTATAGTAGTAATCTTTGATAGAAAAGTAGTCAATAGGTCTGGAAAACGAATGCTTCACCCCACCAGCAAAAACGAACGCAGCCTCGTATGCACATGTGTGTACAATTGCAAATGTACTTTCAAAGCACCCAATTTGCTTTAGAAAAATAATATCCTCATCATGTCCATTCTGCTCTCCTGATTTCACAGCTACAGCCCCAATTAATCCACTTTTTCCAATGCTTTGAGAATGTCCCCATTTTTCTCTCCTGCTGCTTTCTCCCTTTATCATCAGCATACTTCAGTTTCTGCAAATTGTGTTTAAAGTGAAAAAGTAGTTCACACACAACTTGCTCAGTAGAGAGGAGAGAAGGAGGAGGAGGAATCTTGCCCTTTTTAGTAGCCTCTGCCTCACTAATCACTCTTGACATCTTGACCATGTTCTGATGTTGCTTGGCCATGTATCCTTGTTTTCATCTGTGAAATTTGGAAGGTATTTATTTGGGTGCTTTTTTTGCATAAATTATGCCAGTAGGGTGCCCACACATTAGTGAAGGCAAAGGTTTTCCCCTGACATTAAGTCCAGTCGTGTCCAACTCTGGGGTTTGGTGCTCATCTCCATTACTAAGCCAAAGAGCCAGCATTGCCCATAAGACATCTCCATGGTCATGTGGCCAGCATGACTACATGGAGCGCCATTACCTTTCCGCCAGAGTGGTACCTATTTTTTAAATTAAATTTTTAATGAGATTTTTCTTCAACAATGAAAGAGGGGGAACAATCAACATGACAGGAAAGTAGGAAATTGAAGAAAGGGTAAAGTAGTGTGGGGAGGAGAGGATGTGAACCAAAAGGAAAAAGGAGGAAAAAAAGTATATATATATAAAATAAAATCAAGGACTTCCAGTTCAGTCCACAGAGGTGCAAGCGTTGTGTTGTTTATGTCTTCTTATGGTCTCATTAGCACTATAATCGATGATCTATGTTAATTCGTAGTGGTGAATTATATATATTAAGTTTAATTTTCCCTCTTAGGTACTCTTTTAGTTGGTTCCAGTTTCTTTTCATTACTCTGTTCCCTTAGTAAGTAAGAAAGCCTATCCAGGTCCATATATTCTATTATTTTCTTAATCCAATCCTCATTGAAAGGGATTTCTTTCATTTTCCATTTTTTGTGCAATTAATATTATTGCGGCTGCTGACAGATAAAAAATATATTTTTTCCTCATTTTTCTTTAAATCAAGATTTGTTATATTCAACAAATAATATTCAGATTTCATGTCAAATTTTGTTTTAATTATATTTTGTGTATGTTTATGAACCAAAATACAAAATTTTTGAATCTCCTTACAACTCCAAAATAAATGGTAGTAAGTTCCCGTTTCTTTCCTACATTTCCAACATAAGCTATCGAGTTTTTCATTAAATTTAGAAAGTTGGACAGGTGTCAAATGCCATCAATAAAACACTTTAAGCCAATTCTCTAGTATGTTAATGGCTTTTGTGAACTTTAGTTTGTCCTTCCAGACATGTTCCCACTCTTTTAGAAGTATAGAGTGACCTATATCTCTCGCCCACTTAATCATATTTTCCTTTATTAAGTCTTTCTCATTGCTCCATTCTAATAGATTTTTATATATTACTTTAATCAGCTTTTTTCCTTTCTCATTACGATTTTCCAACAAGTGTCTTTTTTGTTGAAACCTACTTTTAGGTCTTCCTTAAAGCATTCTTTAATTTGTAAAAAATGGAACCAGCCTACTTCTCCATCTATTTCTTTCAGTTCTTCCAAAGTTCTTAAGCGCCATTCATTGTTATCCTTTACTAAGAGTTGTTTATAGCTGAGCCATCTCTCCCTGGGAATTTCTCTCCTGTGGAATGCTTCTGTCGGGGATATCCACATAGGTGTTTTATTGTAGATGTATCCCTTATATTTATTCCAAATTTTTAGTAGAGAAGATCTAATATAATGGTTAGTAAAATTTCTTTCTATTCTGGCTTTACCATATCATAAGTAGGCATGCCAGCCTCTTCTAATGTCATGCCCTTCCAATACTAGTATTTTTTTCGGTTCTAGGGTAGCCCACGCTTTAGTCCAGGACAGAGCACATGCCTCAAAGTACAGTTGCAGGTCTGGCATTGCTATTCCTCCCCTGTTTCTTATGTCTGTTAAGGTTTTAAATTTAATCCTGGTTTTTTTTCTCATCCCAGTTGAAATTTAGAATGTCCTTGTTCCATTTTCTAAAGCACACAGTTGTTTTAATAATGGGGATCATTTGGAACAAAAAGATCATTCTGGGCAGTATATTCATTTTAATGACAGAAATTTTACCCATTAAAGATAGATTTAAGTATTTCCAGTTTTTTTGGATGTTCCCCCATACCTTTTCGTAGTTGTCTTTAAACAAGTATGCATTAGAAGTAGAGATTGCAATACCTAAATATTTAAATTTTTTAACTATTTCCATTCCGGTATCTTTAGAAAGCTTGTCTTTCCTTTCTGCTTCGATATTTTTAGTTAGTTTCTTAGTTTTATTTCTATTTATCTTAAGACCAGCAAGCTTTCCAAATTTTTCAATTTTTAATATCCATTTCTGAGCGGATTCTATTGGGTTTTTCATAATACATACTACGTCATCTGCAAACGCCAAGACCTTATATTCCTCAGATCTAATTTTTTTGCCCTTAAGTTCTTTGTCTATTCTTATATCCTCCAATAAGATTTGTAATACAAGTATAAATAATAATGGGGATAGGGGACATCCTTGCCTAACTCCCTTTTGGATTTTTATTTTATCAGTGTATTGTCCGTTTACTATCACCTTAGCCGAGTGCTTGGAATATATAGATTTTATGGCATTTAATATTTGATGGCCGATATCAATTTCTTTTAATGCATATATTAGAAAGTCCCAATTTGTGTTATTGAAGGCCTTCTCAGCGTCGAGAAAGAGAAGGCCCACTTCTTTCTGATTTTTTTTCATAATATTCCACAATATCCAAAATTACTCTTATATTATCTCTCATCTGCCAATTCGGGAGGAATCCCCTCTGATCATCCTTAATTCTTTCTTGGAGCCTGAACCTCAGCTATGTTCTTTCCCAGCCATTTTGTTGATGTTGTTTACAATTGTGATTGTTTTTATATTTTATCTGATGTTTTTAATTGATTGTGTTCTATTTGTATTTTTTGGGCTTCTCCCTTGTAAGCCGCCCTGAGTCCCCTTGGGGAAATGGTTGGCGGGGTATAAAAATAAAGTTATTATTATTGTTGTTGTTGATGTTGTTGTTATTATTATTATTATTATATACAATAAACAAATAAATACATAGATCTAAAAAATGAGCCGCATTAGCAATGACATGAGAGTCAGCATGATGCAATTCCTTGAGCCTTAAACTACTCTCTCAGCATTAGAAGAAGGCATAGGCACCCCCCAAAAAACAATTTGGCTGAACAAACACCGTAATAGGATTGCTTTCGGCTTGACATAAATCAGAAATGACTGAAGGTACATGACACCCAAACAGCAGTGACATATAATGGGAAGTAGATTTCAGAAAGTGCAACATTTTATAATGGTATGTAGTGGTCATTTTATGTTGTATATGTTGAATTTTTATGTTGAATTTGACTGAATATGGGAACATATTATAACTCTAGTTTTCACATGCATTTACTCATTTCAGATATGGAGCTCTGGTGGCACAATGGGTTAAACCTTTGTGCCAGCAGGGCTGCTGACTGAAAGGTCAGTGGTTTGGATCCGGGGAGAGGTGTGAGCTCCCATCTATCAGCTCCAGCTTCTCATGCGGGGACATGAGAGAAGCCTCCCACAGGATGGCAAAACATCCTGGCATCCCCTGGGAAATGTCTTTGCAGACAGCCAATTCCCTCACATCAACCCCCCCACCCCCTCATTTCAGATCAAAGTGGCATGGCAAGCAACGTTCAGTACATTTGTTTTATTTGCCATACATATCTGATGCCAGGAAAGCCTTTAAATACTGTTTGTTTTATATCTCACAATGAAAACAGAAAACAGGCCTCATTTTATTTGACGAAAATTAACTTAATTGATGTGTCTTTTATTGTTCCGTAGACTCATCACCAGAAGTGGGGTCAAGATCTGTGTGCCTCACAATCTTCCATGGGTGAAGAAGACTGTCCAAAAACTGAAACAAAAAAGGATTAGAAAACAGAAAAAAATTACAATCACACCTAGAGCGGCAACCAGTCCCGCAGCCAGGATTTTGATTCGGGGGGAGTTGAGTTTGTTTTGGGGGGGGGGAGGCTGAGTCTGAGTGAAAGAGGGTCTACCCTAGCAAACCTTTTGTAACGTTACCCCAATACCCCCATGCATATGGGATATATTGAACATGGTGATCAGATCATGATATGAATAAACATAACAGTTTAAATAATGTACCAGTAAGGCCTTCTCGCAGACCACCCTGAGAAAACCTCTTTCTGTTGTTAGCTGGAAATAAAATTTCTAAAAACAATGTAATTTCACTGGAATCTAATATTATGTATAAAGGCAAATCAGACTGAACAATGGCAGCTTACTGTTTTTGAAGTCTACATTGCTATTGGTTTTCTTTATTTCTATTTCGGATAGGAAGCCAGCTTTTTCAATGTTTTCGCTTGCATCTGTATGAAGACTCTTGGACGGTATTTATTGACAGATTTCCTTTTGGGTTGTGAGCTTTCCGGGCTGTATGGCCATGTTCCACAAGCATTCTCTCCTGACGTTTCGCCTGCATCTTAGGCAGGCATCCTCAGAGGTTGTGAGGTCTGTTGGAAACAAGGAAAATGGGGTTTATATACCTGTGCAATGTACAAGGTGGGACATTCCTTTTCACTTTATGATTTTTTAATATATCTTTAATCCCTCAGACAGGGAATATAGAATGTTCTGATATAATATGTCTTTTCAATCAACTGTCAGATTTGTTAAGGTCCTTAAGAAAGCAATGGCATGTATGTGAACACATTCTTAAATTTAGGGCACCAGGCAGAAGAGACAAAGCAGCCCAAGAAACCACAAGACCATTGAATTCAGAGAGTGCTACAACAATCCTTTCAAAGAATATAACTATCAAAGTCCATGGAAACAGCTTTATATTTATATAAACACAACATTATTATTCATTGGTGGTTTTCCTACTTAGCTGCCAAGATTAGATGGGATCTGGTGCCTTTATGATATTTTGGCAATACCACTGTTTGATAGAAGACCACAAAAGACATTTCATAGATGTGTTATTACAATAGAGTTTCGTTTATCCAGCGTTTGCTCATGCAATGTTCTGTATTATTCAATGCAGTCTGCCTCCCGCCTGGATCCACAGCTGTTTCAATACATTGCGATGTTTTGGTACTAAACTCATAAATACAGTCATTACTACATAATGTTACCATGTATTAAACAGATGACACTGTGAGGATATTTAAATCAAGCAGTGTAATTCTTTTGAGTAAGGAAAGCTAAATAAAAGGAAGGTCATTATTGCTGTGAATGTGAATGAAGAATTAAATTGATATTAATTGGCTAATATTAATTAAAATTGTAAATTTTACATTTAGTTGTTGGCACTTAGTTTTTCTTTTTACAAAGAAATGTTCCATTGTTTTACATGTAGAATTATAATTTATATCTTGCTCAGCCTGGCCACTGGGCAGCATGCAGACCTTACTGAAATGAAGGACATGCTTCTCCAGAACATACTTGCCATGATTCCTAGTCATTATTTGGATTAGAAAAAGAGGTACAGGATGACCAGTTCTGCTCCTTTTTCAAGACTATACTATTCTCACATCACACAGTTACACTTGCTTTCTACACAAACAGAGAAGTGGACTTTACAGATATTGCAATGCTTTCACTGTATTAGCCCTACTTAAAAATAGAATGATACTAAGAGACAAGTCAATTAAATCTAGAATGCAGCTATACTAGGGTTGTGCGTGGAACCATTTTCCTTTGTTTCATTCATTATTTCATTACTTTCATTACCTTTGGGAGCACGTGATGGGAAGACCCCTCCTGGTTCAAAAATCAGTTCGACACAAAAGCAAGTGGGAGCCAGTCTTGACTCCTTGCCTGCTTTTTGTGAACAGCCTCCTTGCCTTGGAAAGAGTGCATATCTGGTATGCTTGCCCACAGTCAAGCACCTCCTCTGGAGTAAATTTTCCTCCTTGCCTTGGAAACTGCATGTGGAGTGCAGGCTCAGAAAGCGTGAGTGCCTGCCTGCCGCTGAGCACCTCCTTTAGAGTAAGAAACAGGTAAGAAGCTTCCTTAAAGTGCGTACCTGCCTGCAGTTGAGTGCCTCTCCTCTAGAGTAGAGCTTAAAGCCTAAAATTATGGGAAGGGGAGCCTGGGAGGCCCCCCCCACCCCATAATGGTGCGATAGAAAATGGATTTTTTGGCACCCAGAGCAAAAACAGCTATATGACTTCGGGAGGCTCCCAAAAAATGGATCAGGGCCCCTGCTAAAAGCCAGGATGAAACGGGTCAAGGTTTATCCCAAATCCACAGCCCTAATCTATACTGTAGAATTGATGCTTTTTAATACCACTTTAACTGCCATGGCTTGATGCTATGGAATTCTGGGAGATGCAATTGGATGAAGTACCAGTTGCCTTTGGCAAAGAAGACTAAAGACCTTGTAAAACTACAAGCATCATGTTATACAAAAATACCATTTTATTAAGCTATTCTATATAATGGGACTTTCACATCCACCCATCCTGGATCTAAACCCCATCAGATATTGATAGCCCACGGTATGGGTCTTTGTAACACATACACATACATGCCCCCCAAGACCCTTTTCTTTTCATGATCCCAGGCAATACTTGTTTCTAGAATCCTCTCTTCCATCCCCAATCTTTGGTTTTCACCAACATTCATTCAGATTCCCATGGCCACTGACCACATTTCATCTTTACATGGCTGTTTCTGAGGATTCACTTTGTCTCTAAAATTTGGAAACTGAAGGAACAATTGATAGAGATATACTCATTTAGCTAGAAACAATGGATGGAGACATATTCACACATCTAGGAACAATGGATGGAGATAAACCCACTCAACTAAGCTAACAATATATTTTCTAATTTGACAAAAATGGATTATAACAAGAATGAAAATTGGTAATAGGAAAGCTGGGAAGATGTGGAATAATTTCCTTCCTCCAGTTCTTATTGTCAAACTTGCCATATCCATCTAGCTTAATCCTATACAAAGTCTGAAAATCATTATTCGCTGGAAGGARCACATGTTGGCTGGAGTGTAACAGAAGTTATACTCACTGGAGGGGGTGGGCCTCAAAAATATAACTTCTCTGAGGCTGGATCTACCTTGCCATATAATGCCATTTCAGAATGCATATGATCTAGTTCAAAGCAGTTAAAGTACATTCTGAAATGGCATTATTTGGCAGTGTAGATCCAGCCCCAGTTCTGATCCTCAGTTTTGATCTTCAGTTCTGATSCTGGGATATAGGGCCTGTYRGGAAGGSTCCTAAGTYAGTTGTATAAAGATACTCATTAGMGGCCTCTTCCACACAGCTGTATAAAATCCAGATTGAACTGGATTATATGGCAGTGTGGACTCAGACAACCCAGTTCAAAGCAGATATTGTGGATTATCTGCCATGGTATTATGGGTTATATGGCTGTGTGGAAGGGCTCATAGTCTTCTCTAGTCTTGGACTGCCAGGCGAAAGTGCTGGCACATGCCTTGCTAATGCTGCAGTGCACACCAGTTTCATCCACTTCCAAACCAGTTGAGCTGATCTTACAGAGGCTCCTTCTTTTAAGGAAGGAGGGAAATAGACTCGGGTTAAGACATTAAGACATGCCAGATGCCAAAGCCCAGATACACTCTTGGAATATCATACCTTGAAGGCAAGTGCACATTCTGGCGCCTGTGTGAGGCTAGTTCAGCCTGAACCAGGAATTAGTCAACCAGCCAAGAAGTGATTTTGTGCTCAGTGTGTCCTGGTCTATCCCTCATTCACATCACTTCTGCATGTGTTCAATCATAACTCCATTCTAGACGATTTATTCTGTAATTTAAAAGGAAAATATTGACATTTATTTTTACACTTGGCTTCTTATAACATATAATATTATTTACCTTTGCTTCATGTATGCATTTTGTAAATTTTGTAAATTTTGTAAATTTTTCTGCTTACAGTGTGTGTAAGGAGGATTATTTTCAGGATGAAGAATTATAATAATACATCTCTTCTTGTTTGCAGCAAGCCTATGTGTTATTCTGGATGAATTCTAACCAATAATCTGATGAGCCTCATTTGGGAGTATTTCTTTCCTCTCTATTACTTTTCAAGACACCATGTGGACAGTATAACTTTCAACATGATGTCTCCACTCTATTTTCTCTCCCACAGCTCTTTGAAACATCCCCAAAGCTTCCATTAATTTTATGTCTTTTTGGTTGGACACATACAAGTGTTACCATAATGTGGAATTAGAAATGTTCTTGTTTCCAACATATTATTCTCTGCAATGTTTGAATTCAGAATTACATCACACAAAGTGAAGAAGCACGGAATTGGAAATTGCACTTTACTTTGAAATGTGAATTATGCAACTTTTAAAAGTTAAGGGGCATTTACACTGTAGAATTAATGCAGTTTGACATTACTTGAATTGCTGTAGCTTGCTGCTCTGACATCCTGGAATTTGTAGCCTAGTGGGACACCAGCACTCTTGGATAGGAAAGGCTAAATGCATTATTTATTGGATTGCTGTGAGTTTTCCAGGCTGTATGGCCATGTTCCATGTTTCTGGAACATGGCCATGCAGCCCAGAAAACCCACAGCAACCCAGTGATTCCAGTCATGAAAGCCTTTGACAATGTATTATTTACTTACTTTTTATTTATTATTTATTTACTTTTTATTTTTATCCCACCTTTTTCTCTCAATATACAGACTCAAGGAAGTTAAAAATAAATATATAATTAAATGTCAACACACTAGAATGTAAAGATACTAAATATATATGCAAACATTTTAAAAAATAAACCATTTGTGTCATTAAAATGATTAAACACTACAATATTAAAATGTCTTAAAACTCCACATCCACCCCAAAATTCCAATCACATCATCTCCAGTAGCCTGCCTTTCATGAATCCATATATGCCTAATGGCAGAGGAACATGTTCCCCAGCCTACGAAAAGCAATTATGGGGAGGGAATTCTGGAGTTTGAGATCATTCACTAAAAAGGCCCCTTCCCTTGGTTCCCACTAAATGAGTTTGAAAGGGTGATGGGACAGAGAGAAGGCCCTCTCCACATGATCAAGGGTTTTTTAAAAAGAGAGATATGATCCTTCGGAGCACCTGGATGATATAGGTTCTTTTAAAACTGCCCCACAATACTATAACTCCCATGATTTGAGTCATAGTAGTATCGAACTGCATTAATTCACTTGTACATGCCCTGAATTGCCCATCTCACTGAGTGTGTGAGTGACTGACAATGCAACCTCACCACTTGACAACTGCTTTTCCTATGAGTCTATAGCATTGAGCCTGCATAGTTAAACTGGTGCCAAACAGCTTGAATTTTACAGTGTACACACACCTCAAAAGGTCTCCCAGATCTCGCATTGCTCATCACACAGTGGTCCATCTGAAACTTCTGGCAAGGACTCAAGTAGGGCACAGCTTCACCCCACTGTTGCTTCTCAACTATTAGTATTCTGTGGCATGTCTTTTCGCAGGTTACAAAAAATAGAAGCAATGTTTTATGTATGGTTTTTCTTTTTTTCATGGGAGCCTTGCACACCTAACTCCTATAAAAGTGGGGACATACTGTAGTGCCAAAGGAAATGTGGGCACACATGCTATAAACGTTAAACAAAGTTACTATCTTATAAAATGAACAAGAGGCATGTTGGATTTGGACAGGCAAAAGAGGGTGAACGGTGAGGACAGGGTTTTATTCATGTCAAGAGCGATTTGAGAAACTGCAAGTCATTTCTGGTGTGAGAGAATTTCTCCACCTGCAAGGATGTTGC